TTGACCACACAATTTTATATTTTTTCTGGGTCCTAAAAAATTAGAGAAACAAGGTTTGAGTAAAGAGACTTGCTGGATTGCTTCTGGTCAGTCTAATCTTGTTAGTTGTAGGTGACAAAGTATTGTTCGTATAAGACAGGAACTCAAATTGACAACTGGCTGGATCTGATTTAATTACACAGTGTGATAATTTCTTTGGTGCAAACAACAAGATCCTTTCTCCTAAACACATGTTTAATTTTCAACAAAACACTCCTCATATAAATACTACATTGTTTCTAAACCCTTATTGACATTCCCAGAATTGCTTGCAGCCTTTCAGAAGCACATTATTTTATAAGTATAATCCACACTTTTAGAACAGGACAGTTTGTGCCAAGGAAGCACATTTACCTCAGGCCCATCACTTCACACCATCACAGGAGGGACCATCTTCATTTCCATAGAAATCAAGGAAAGTTGCACGTTCTGTCTTTGAAACCTTCAATTTCTGATGGTCTGGGAGTTGCTAACCTTGTCCAAATGATTCTCTCATTACTGCTCTAACAACTTCCAGCAAAAAAGCTCAGAACACTGCAGCAGGGCATTGTATAGTAGAGAATTCACAGCCCTGTCGATCAGGACAACTTGAATTTTGCCTCATCCAACTGGACAATTGGTTCCTTGATCTCAGTTTCTTGTATGTGAAATGACAGTGTTTCTAAGAGCTGTATTAGCAGGCCATTTATGCAGTTAAATTGAAACAGTTCCAGGTACATATCAAATATTTGGCAAATAGAATTTATCATTATGGTTATTAATATATTATAAGCAGTCTCTAGACATCCATTTCTACATTTTGATCAAGTTCACTTTACCAAGATGCTATTGTGCACTTTATGTTCTGGAACCTGGACCTCTAGGCTCTTTAGGGACTTTGCAGAGATGACCTATGTAAGTGGAAAACAAGAATTATTGTTCACTTTCCATCATGAAAGACATTCTCAGGGAACTAGGTTTCTACTTCATTAGAAATAAACAGTATTTGGCCTTTTTTTCCATTATAAATTCTAGATACAGGGACTTTTGACTCTATGTCTTTCAGAAAATTGACCCCCTTGCACTGTTTTTCCATTCTGTTTGAGAGATGATTCACTAGCTGAGACCATACATATGAGATCTCCTGCTTTAGGAGGTATCCAGGATCCCAGGCCACTAAACCAACTTTATGTCAGGCTTGTGGTCTTTCTCATTCCTACTAGGCCCCTTTAATAAGGTAAACTAAGTTCTACGCTGAGACTCCCCAGAGCAATTTCTTTTGTTCATAGTAACCCTATGATGTAATGGAGAATGACCCTTAATGCTTAGGTGAACAAACTGAAATTGGAGTATGAAACTTGTTCTAAATTACTTTTTAAAGATATAATAGAACCACAAATCAAATCTACACCAACTCTTTGCATTTTCTAGAACTGTTAAGTAAAAGAAAGCAGTTTAGGATATGATTTAAAAATTTGCAACCTCCTTCTTCAGTAATAACTAGGATACAACTATCCTAGTTATATGGTGGGAACATATAAGTCAAATTCTCTAGCCACTTAATTTTCAGTGCATCTATAAAATAGATTGCATGTATTATAGGTATGAAGCTGAGATGCTTTGAATCCTTTAATTTGATAAAGCTAAAAGAAAGTAAAAGCATGCTATGAGTAGGAAACTGTATCAAAAGACATGCCGCTCTGCCTTAAACAGTCCAATTCAAATTCCGTATAAAGGTGCTTTGCAAAACTCACAGCCCTCAGACTCTATCAGCTTAATTATTTCCTTGCGTTTGTTTCTAGTGACAAGTCTCAACCATTTAATGAATGCTTGAAAGGATGACCAATTAAAAACCTTGTAACAGAAGAAATCCCCAAGTGAAGAGTGTTGGGAAATTACTATAAAGACAGACACAGCTGGTCCTATTAGCCTGGCTATTTGTGTGGATGCGTTAGCATAAGTGGAAGCTTCATGGAAAAGAAGTTTATTCCATCAGAAAGGAGAGCTGAATTGTGGAGACTTAGTCCATAGTTATGGGAGGAAATTTTCATGTTCAATACTACTTTCATATTCCCCAGCTTCTCTTTCAGCCTAGCAATTATCCTCTGGTACAAACTTCATAACTGAGTTTTGAACATAGTACACAATAGATAAATAAAAATAGAGAACAGTAGCATTCGAATCTTGATCCCAAACAGAAAGAAAATAGGAGAAAAACAATTGATATAGTAAATTGAATTTTAATTTCTGTCATTTAATGCCTTGTGTATTTTGGATATGTTAATAAAAATCTTGAAGCCTTAATTCCTTAAAGTAATATTGGGGGCATCCATCAAATTGGCATGTCCTGAGAACTATACTCAGATACTTTACATAAGTTATGAGAATAAGACTTTAAAGAATTCACTAGAGAAAACTTTTTTTGAAAACTCTTTCTCCCCAACCTTCCTCAAAGTGTTGGAAAACATGATATCAAGTAAACAAGCGAGGAAGTAGTTGAGAATATCCATGCTAGTGACAGACAGAAAATTTCAAAGCTGTGTAAACTAAATTGAAAGCTAAGATCTTCAAGACTTTAGGGTCTTAACTGTGAAGTACAGAGGGTGAGAAACATCACACAAAGAGATGGTACATTAATTATTCTTCTGTTCTTCACATGTCTACATTGTCAGGCATGGTGCTCAACATTAGGGAAGCAAAGGTGATGGCAAGATGTGACCCTCAGTCCCACAGAAATACCCAGGAACATGTCTGAGGATTCTCACAAGTCCACACATGACTTTCCAGGAACCCACTAGTAATTTCTCAAAAGACTATAGAGTCCAAGAGGAAGTTCGATTCAGGTAACTCATATTAGTAGAAGCAAAGTAAAAAAGAAACTATCACTTTAGTCATAAGCGCAACTTTTGTCCTACAAGCTGTGACTATGTGGGATTAAAATGTTGGTTGAGAAGACCACTCAGTGCTTCTCTCTGACTACCCATGAGAAAGCCCCTTACATCAAATATATATTTTACTTTGCAGTGGCCTAAAAATTAACATCCCAATCTTCATTTTATTTGTAAGGTGACTAGCTCTCAGACAAGTGAAGCCCAAGTCACACACCTGACAAACTCTGAAAATGAGGGCAGGAACTCATACTTCCCAAAACTTCAGGGGATCTCTCTGGAATTCCACCTGGAATACACGGTCCAAATTTTCCATGTCTTTCATTCCTCTCTTCTATCCATATTTCCTACTTCTGATTCACCTTATTGCTCATGTACATTTTGTTGGAAGCTCTCCCAAGCCCTTTATGGAAAGAGGTGCTATAAATAAACCACTGTGTGCATAATGCATGCATGCATATGTATTTGTTTAAAGATTCATGGTTTAAGTTGAAAAACCCTGACTGGCATTAACCACATAGAGAACTGCAGGGGTTTCACTTCTTGTTTTGCCAAATTGAAGCATGAAGCAATGGGCTGGAGTACACAATAGTTTCCCTGAGATGGAATGAGGACCAGACTGGGGCCTTGCCTCTCACGTGTTGACTGGTAGATTGATAAGACCTATATACTATATTGAACTTTACTTTTACATCAAGAAAATCAAGAAATTAATTCCTTATCATCTACCTCGTCTAGCTAAGAAGAGACTAATATACTAATATACGTGAGTATGTTTCAAGCCGAAGGGAATTACAAACAAGAAAGGAATCTTTTTTTTAATATTAATAACTCCACACCATCATTTGAGTCACTTTGAAATAAAATTATTTAAAGTGACTTTAAAGAACTCATCCCAAGCTTGGCTTTCTTTTGTCTTCCTCTTCTGCTGTTCTGCACATCACTTCTTTCTATCTTTATTCACCTCATTAGAAGTTCTCAGAATTCCAATTCCTTCTCTGGCTGACTTATTTCACAAAAAATAAAGAAACTCCATTTCTATCCATGTTGTCACAAATAACAAAATTTGCATATTTTCCAAGGTCAAATAACATTCCATTGCAAGAATATAGTATACTACCTCTATGCATTAACCTATCAATGAACATTTGGGTTGTGTTCATGATCTGAGTATTATGAATATTGTCATAGTTAACAAAGGAATCCAAATGAGGTTTTTGAAATCTTTATTGCTAGATATTATAATAGTTCTACTTGGTTTTCTTTATTAAGAAACAAGCACAGTTTTGTGCAATGCCTCAACTATTTCGTACCCTGCAAACAATATAGAAGTACTATGTGCACATGTGCATGCACATACACGTGCACACACACGGTGTACATGTCATTTTTATATAGAGGAAATGCTGACTGGAATATGGTAAAATCTCATTGTGGTTGTAATGCTGCAATTCTCTACGAATGTTTTTGCTAATCTATCTTGGTACATGCCATTATGAGAAAGTAAAAAAAAAACAATAACTTTCTGAGAAGCCCTTTGAATGCCCTGTTTTCTTAATAATAAAATCTCCCCTCCCTAACTGTCATCAGGAGGTGATTCCTAACAAGAAGAGCAATGTGTACTCCCAACATTCACCCATCTCACAAAGCACGTCTAGCAATGGGAAAAATGAATGGAAAGGACCTAAGATCTATTTCCATGATTCCCTGTATGGATCTTCCAGGCCATCAAACAGTATCCTTGATGAAAAGGAACAGTATGGCAGCATATCTTGTGTTGCCACTCAGTTATGTGAGCATCTATGATTCTGGATATTTCAAAAAGAAATGATCAAGTTATCTGATTTCTGTTCCTGAATTATTCTCCCCTGATTAAAAATATTCTATAAACCAAATTATTTTTAACACTGCCTCTGTGACATCCATAACTTAGTAGGTAATAATTTAAGAATGACACTTAGTGACAAAGTGACAGAGTATATTTTACACACTTGCTTGAAAAAATGAAGTTAAATATGGACATTCCTAGCATATCTCTAACAGCCTTATTTATAATATGAGTGTATAGACAAGACATAAAAAATGATAACTGAATTTATAAAAATAAAAGTGTATTATGAATTTTTATTTAATAAATACAGCATACTAAGTAATGGCTAGGATGTCTGTGAGCATGTATTAATCTGGTTTCCTGAAGAATTAAGTACAAAGGAAAGTGATATAAAATGGAAGATGAACTTTGAATCAGAGGCTCTCAAAGAGAACCAGTGGAATTTAAATTGCATTCAGTAGGGGAAAAAAAGAAAAGTTAGCAAATATTCAATTCAGTTGAAACTACCAAAACTTGTTTAAGGAAGTTGAAACACGGTTTATAATATACTTTATTTTCAAAAATCCATGGGAAGACAAATGCTCCTTTCTGCTTCATTGAGCATTGCCTCTTCTCAGTCTGAAATGGTAGGAGTAAACCTTCTTGATTATGAGTCTTTGCATGAGTTGGTTAAAGAAGACACCTGGAATGTACAGACTGTCATCATAGCATTAACCTCTTTCTGCTCTGTAAGGTCCATTAGGTTACCAGCTTTTTGGTACCATGTGCACCATGGAATCCTTCTCTACACCAGAACTTCTGGTAAGCTGTAACATCTAATACTAGCAGCCAGAAATAGTGTTGAACACAGTTTTATCCTCCTCAGGTGGAAGTTGTTGCTTCTTGATTGTCTTCTGCCTCTGCGGTTCCCTCTGGATTCCAGGCTCTTCCATCTAGTAGAGCTTTTTTGAGCCTTCTCCAGAAGATGTGCCTCCCCAGAGCATTGTCCTCCCACTCTAAATAGGTGTTTCTGCTGAGCAGACGATAGAGCTCCACCTGCTGCTTCAGCAGAGACTTCTCCACCTTCTCCAGGACAATGAAGATAATGCCAGAGTGACTGCTTAGAAACTGCCATGTCTGAGCAATCTCATATTCAAAGATACACCAGCGGCTCTGGATAAAGTGTCTAGACACCACCACAATAACCTTCCTGCTCTTGTGGAAGCCTTCTTGGATGATGTTGGCAGCAATGGCTACACCAGGAATAAAGTCTCTGTAATGGAGGCAGAGCTGAAAGGGGGGCACCCCTTCTTCTAAGTTCTTTACCAGCTCATTTCTGACCCAGTCTTCATCATGGCTGGAGTAGATGACAAAGGCATCGTAGATGCTTTCAGCACTGCTGTGCTTTTTACAACCAGCAAGAAGCATCAGGTGAAAATAGAATTTGTAGACCAAAAATGCTATAGTGGATACGACAAGTACGCTGATTACTGACACAGTTATGATAGTCTTATGCATATGGCAGGTGGCATTCCTGAAATCCAGCACCAGGGAGCCCTTCATCTCTGCAGGTGTTGCACAAGTCATTTGTTCAGCGTTCACTAAGAATGGGCTCTGGTCCTTGATCCACTGAAGGAAGTTCTGATGTTCACATGTACAAGCAAAAGAATTATTAGTAAGGTTTAAGAAGGCCAGACTCTTTGGAAAATGTTGCAGCATTCCTTTGGAAGTCTCTATGTGATTGAAACTGCAATCAAGTGTCTTGAGGGAGTGCAGCTGTTTATAATGGAACGGATCCAAAAGCAGTAGGTTGTTATGACTCATATTTAGTAACAGAAGTCCATGGAGTGTGTCAAATACCCCCCAAGATACCTGCTGTAATTGGCATTTAGAAACATCCAGGAATGTCAAGTTTGTCATATTTGTAAAGACATTTGAAAGGGTATTGTCTTTGAAAGAATTGCCAGCCATTTTTAAGATGTTAAGACTAGTCAAACCATAAAAGATGCCATTGAAGTCAATTTTGGTGTTAGTATAAGAGATGTCAAGGTAACGCAGGTTTTCAAGGGATAAGAACACTGAGTATTCTGTGGTCTTTTTTAAAGTGGAATGTTGGAAATCCAGGTATTCCAGCTGTTCTAAACCCATGAAGTTTTTACTTATAATGATGACACCATTGAAGCTGAAGTCTAAGTGTTTCAGCATGCTTGTTCCAAAATGAGAGGAAGTACAGCAACCCTTAAAACTGAGATCATTTTTATGGAGATCTAGAAATGTGAGGTTTGGCAGATTTACATCTGCAAAACTGGGAGTCTCTTTGTTGGCTGTAAAGCTCAAATGTTTAATAAAGGGGAGGTCCAGAGATGGAAATTTCACAAGGTTACATCTAGTGACTATTAAGGTTTCCCATTTGAAATATTTAGGAATGTGTTCTAAGTTGTTTAAATACACACTTACCAGAGACATTGCAGAAACATTTGCCAAGCAATTGAAATCAGTAATATCACCAGAAAAGTTTTCTACAAATGTTAATCGGAACTCATCAATGATCACATTGCACAATCCTTCCATGACAGAATGGTCAAAACTTTCTACATTCCTTTCATTTTTAAATTCTCCCAAGATCAACCGATGAACTTGCAAACCATCCAGGTTTTGAATACAAGTTTTCATTACATTTGTGCTATTAAAATTGCTTCTTAGAGTCAGTTCATAGAGCCTAATTCCTTGAAAGGCTTGAGGTTGAATAAAGTCAATTGGGTTCAAGGACAGCTCTAAAGAGAGATTAAATTGGGGATTTTCACGTAAAGCCTGAAAGTCTTGGTGGTAAATAGTTTCAATATAGTTATTAGAAAGGTCCAAGTGTTCTAGGTTTGTCAGATTGGAAAAATACTCAGGTAACTTGGAGGAATGTATAAGATTGTGAGCCACATTGAGTTTCTTTAAGGTTTTAAGGTGTCCAATAGGTAAACTATCTAGAGAATCCAGACTTATCTCCACAGCCACGAGATTCTGTAAACTTGCTAGTCCAAAAAAACTTCCCTGGGATAAACTCTGGATAGGGTTTCCTGTCAGTATCAGGGTTGAGAGCTGGTGTAAGCCTTCATATGCCTCATCTTCAATTGTCTCAATTTCACACCTATGAGGAAAAGAGATACCAATTATGTATTTTTGCTTAATAAAACTATATAGCATCATAACAATTCCTGCAAACTCACAATAAAAACATATGTGATATACCATGCTATTGTGAGGAGACAAACACACAAAGCAAGGCAATTAACAATGGTGCCTTTTATTATGCACTAGCATTTTCATACTGGCTACTGTGATAAACTATGCATGGCAACAAATTCATCAGAAGGAACTCAATTCAAGATCAATAATAGGGGCATAAATGACTGTTTGTCTGACAGAATATGTAATAGCCTTAGATTAAGTTCAGACATTTCTTTCCACACATAGCTGTGATTGTACATCTGATGGGTACAGACTATATGGATGGTTGTTAGTTGTAGGTCGTAATAAATGCCTGGTGAAAGTCAATTCAAAGACATAAATAATTATACCTAAGTGTCAAGGATAGCATTAATATTTACAAAAGTTACACATATGTGACAGCTAGGTATTTAAATCTGTCATTATCACAGGTAAATGTTAATAATTGGTGATGTGAGTAAGTTTTGCAGAAGAAGTAGAAAGTGGGCTAAGAATGTTCACATCAAAGGAATTGACCATCTTTTAGGGGATGAAACAGACTTCTTGGCAAATATTTAAGTGGAAATTTTAATGATAAGAATAAAGGTGAAGCAAACAGCACGTCTAACACTAAATTAAGCAGCAAGCATGACACAAGGAAGATCCACAATACATAGGGTCTGTGACTTTGGGCGACAAGGGAGATGAGGAAGGCGAACATAAGATTGTGAAGAGAGGGTTTGTAAATAAAGTAGAAAATCACAAGCCCAAATATATGAATTTTATCCCAATATCAATAAGCTGTACTATATATAGTATCCATAGAGACAAACCAGCAACAGAACTCATATGCAGTCAACCTACAGGCATGATAGACTTCACTGCAGATGCTTACCAGACACAGTCTGCAAATGTGTAATTTCCTAAACTTTTAGAGTAGCCCTCACTTTTCCTATTCTCCTTGGGATGATTAAAGGTAAGAAAATAACTCTGGTCTGTGCTTTGGTTATTTATTGGTAATTTGACAAAGGATTAAGGTGTTGTAGACAGATCACTGGAAAAGAAGTCCAGGATTGAATGTATCCACTCTGCTGCCTTCATACATGGACTTTGGAACCATATTTTGTCTGCGTTTTAATCATCCCACTTCTAAATTATGCAATTCAGTTTGATTCTTTCTCAAGCTCCCTCTGTCAGCTATGTGATTTTGTGGTCCCTAACCATACACATATATTGCCATAGATAGCAGATAAGGGCAAAAAGGCCTTTCTCTGCTTCTATCTCATAATATCCAGCTCATAACTTTAGAGAGATGGAGTGATAACGTGAAGAGACTTTGAACTTGGAAGCCAGAGATATTAGCTGATGCTCTAGTCTGCTGAGGTAAATAATATTATTCAATATTACTGTAGATAAGTCACTCAAATCCTTCAAAACTCAGTTTTCTTAGACCCAAGGAAAAAAATTCAAACATACATTATGTTTCTAAGGGCTACCTGATCTATTACAAAACACTGTTAGGAATCTAGTTATTACACATTAAACACCTTTGGAAAGGTGTGGGGAATAGCTTGTCTGCCCGGCACTAATGCAAAACATCCTTTGATCTAAGGGAAGAGAAACCTGACTTCTTCCTAAGCATATATTCAAAGAATTTAAGGAATGTTCTTAAAATATAGTAGTATAGATCAATGCTCAGTTATCCAGGACATTGATGAGCGCTATGTCCTCTTTTATTGAGAAGTTGTTCTTTCCATTGTTCTACCTCCCTGTCTGACTCAGTTCCCTGCCAACCTCCTGGGAAAACTAAAGTGTAAAATCTAATGAAATGATTATAATAGAATTTTTTAAACTCATAAAACTCACTAAATAATTTTACTACATGCAGTACCTAATAACATTTAACCACGCAGTGAGATTTATAATTTTCATTTATGTGACAGTTTGAATGTATTTAGCTCCTATAAACTCAAGGAGTGGCACTATTAGGAAGTATGCCCTTGTTGGAAGAAGTGTGGTCTTGTTGGAAGAGGCTGGTTCACACAGGTCTTTAATCCAGACCTTGAGACTGGAAGGCACACCTTTAATCTGGGCCACACCTTCTGTAGGAAGTGTGTCACTTCCCTGAGTGTGACAGACAGTCCACTTACTGCTGCCTGCAAGATGTAGGACACTTGACTCTCCAGCATCTTGCCTGCCTGCATGCTGCCGTGCTACCCAATATAATGGACTGAATATCAGACATGTAAGTCAATCACCACAATTAAATTTTTCTTTTATAAATGTTGTGTCTCTTCACAGCAATAGTAACACTAACTAAGACAATTTAATAAAAGTGAAAGCTGAGACTCAGGTAAAATTTACATGTATAAAATCATACAGTTATAAATATTGGAGGAAGAACGAGCTCCATTCTTCTTTGTGCCACAGAGTTGTTGCCCTCCCACTTTGTAATGTTCTATCAATACCCAAGTAAAGAATATATCACATTGGGTAGGTAGTTTCAGACTTTTTGATAGTAATAATTGTTCTGCAGAAGCCTTTCAATATCTTGATTTTTTTTTTGGTTGTTTGTTTGTTTAGTTTTTTGAGACAGGGTTTTTCTGTGCAGCTTTGGAGCCTGTCCTGTAACTCACTCTGTAGACCAGGCTAGCCTCTCCCGGCCACCCTGAGTGCTGGGATTAAAGGTGTGCACCACCACCAGCAGCCATAATCTTGATCTTTATCAAGAAATTTTAGAGCATAAACATATGGAACATTTCTGTAGTTTTATAGACACTGTAGAAAAAAATGAATTCCCCTTATCTACTTCACACTTGAAGGATGCCTCTGAGCATTGCAGCCTCCACGGATGAAAAGCTGAAGCTGAGCCGGCCAATCGCAAGATTTCACAGGACGGTGGTGTAGAGGCTGCTGGGAGAGGGAAGTCTTCAGTGGCGTCATCCAACAATGAACGCTATGAATTAAGGCACTAACTCTCAGGCAAGATGTGTCTAGCGATGAAATGTCAGCATATCTATTCTAGGGTAACAAATCTTTCTTGGGTTAGATTTTTGTGTCGTCCTACAGGAAGTTACCCAGGGTTGGTACTGTTAAATAAGTCAAAAAGCAGTGATTAGAGAGATCTATGACCCCAGTGTTTGTGGTGGGAGCGAGGGTGGTTTTTACTGTGGTTAAGTTAAATTAGCAGGGCACCAGATTGGTCCTGAAACAGGTATTTATAGCACCCACTCTAAGAGTAAGAGAACACTGAGGAAGAGAGAGCAAAAAGAATTTAGGAATCAAAAGACAGGGAGAAGAAGGGCTATCTTTGGAAAAGACACAGCAATTGTAACCATGATCTCACAGCAACTGTGGTTAACTGCTCTGAACCTGCACAACACTAAGCCTACAAATAGAAAGTCATGGATCAAGGAGGGCACAATGATTTTAGTGTTTTCAAATGGTTACACCCACTAGGCTCCAATAATTTCTTGCAAATCTATGATCACACAGAGACTATGGTTAAAATCAGTGGGTCACAAAATAAACAAAATGTATGATTATAGGAAGGGGATCTGTTGGAAAGAGTCAGGGATACCAGGGATCAGGTGGAATCAATTGTAGTGAGGGTAAGAACAAAAGAATGCACTATATACATGATTGAAATCGTCAAAGAACAAATTTTACATTGAAAGATTCAACTTCCCATCTAAAATATTGGTTAAAAATTTATGTATCCCAACAAATGGTATAATGCACTGAATCAAAAAAAAAAAATCTTAGCAACTGTTCTTGTTCATAGCAGATGTTTTTCTTGGATCTTGGCACCTTTCTCCTAAGTTAGTATCTTTCTTATCTTCTATTTCACTTTCAATATTTTAGGCATCTTCTGCACCTCCTCATGTCTCAATCCTCACCCACACATAACAAGACAGTCCCTCTCCTAACCAACACAGTTTGTTATTTCCACATAGTTTATCACTTACTGTTGTAAACCACAGTATTATTATTGATTAACATTTGTTGGATTTGTGCTAGACGTCTAATAACGGGGCACTATAACTTACTAACTCATTGAAGAGAGTATTAATCCTACTTAATTAGGAGTGTGTGTTATGTATCTATAAGTTCTTTTTCTGTAGCTTAAGGTACAGCATATAGGATGTGGTCCATAAATATCTAATGGAATAGTTTAAGCTAATGTAAAAGGTAGAACTGTTCTTAAATATTTTTATCTATCTGTACATCAAACTGAAACTAGTGAATAAAAGTAGTTTTTCCAAGAATATACAGTAAGTAATACATTTGCTGGATGAATGAGTGAAAGAAGAAGTTGAGTTAGAATAACCTAGATTTTCTTGCCCAAGAATACAATGATGGAAAAATAACTATCTCACCTTGTGCAACATGTAAAAGCTCATTTATTACCTGGATAAATCCAGAAACTGAAGTTCTGGAAAATTAGAGAAGCTATGACTTCCTAAGGTCTTCAGGGTGTTGAAGCTCAGATCTAAATTCTTGACTGAAGAAGGGATGTTGACAGGAATTTCGTTGAGATTCCGATCCATGCATTGGTAGGTAATGTTAGGATCCACCTGTAAAGATCACACAGCAGATGTCTGTTCCCAGCTGCATGTGTTCCCACTCCTCCGCCAAAACAAATAATGGGGTGGTAAAACTCTTATACAGTCAACCTTCTTCTGTCCATCCATCTAGCAATTCAGTCATTCTGTATTATTTTGTTTGAAACGGGATCCCATTTAGCCCAGTCTTAAGCTTTTTATACAGCCCAAGTTGACATTGAACTTCCTGATCTACTGCCCACACAAGTTCTGATATTACATGAGTATGACATCACATTCACCCCCACCCATTCATTTATCTATCACTTTATGCATATAAAATTTCTTTTTCTCATATTAGGAGTAAAAAAGTATCTCCTGCATTCTCAATGTGTTAACTTCAAGAAAACTATGATCACAGGAAGAACAATAAAATCAGGTGTTAACAGGCTAAGTACAAAATCCTTAGTTTCAAAACAGATGTTCTATTCCACTTGGTACAAAATAATTTTTAATTATTTTATTTATTTATTTTTGAGATTATAATTATATCATTTCTCTTTTCCCTTTCTTCCCTAAGTTCTCGCTTAACCCCTTTCTTTGCTTTTTCTCAAATCAATGGCCTCTTTTTTGTATTAGTTTCTCTTATATACATACATGTCTATGCATATAAATATAATCCTAAATACATAAGTACAACTTGCTCAGTTTGTATAATATTACACACATGTGTGTTTTCAAGAATGACCATTTGGCATTTGGTAATCATCTGATGTTTTCTTCCCTACAAGACTCTCTCTCACTCAAACAGAGACCATAACAGAAAATCACAACCACTCAAAATGCAGAATTCTGAAACCCAGTCTCACAAAAGAACTCCTGCACCTAAAATATTGCAGAAGAGGGGGATAAAAAATTATAAGAGCTCAGAAACAAGAAGTTTACTGTGATATTGTGTCTTCTAATAATGTCAAAAGCTACACCCATAAACTCTCACTAACATGACTGCTTAAACAGGAGCTGAGCAAAGACAACAATTAGACATGCTATCGTGGGTGGAGCATAAAGCCCAGGAGTCCTCTACTCTCTGTAGGCACCTTAGAACTATAGGAAACTAAGGAATTCTGAGAGTGAGTCAATGATTTGTTGTGGTTTGTTTGTTTGTTTTATAATATTTTCAGTAAACTTAGTTTGAGGGAAAATATAAGTATTTTTGTAAATACTTATTTTATACAAAATTCCTATCATTCTAATTACTTATCTTAATTATATACAGTCACATGTCCAGATTTTTCCTAGCTATCACCTATTTTTGACAACTGCAATTTCTTCCTTGGCTTAATGACCTTAGCAACTTGTTGCAGGAATGAGAGGAAGTCTTAGAGTGCAAGGATTTCAGTGACAGAAAATAGTAACCAAGGGCAAGGGCTTGTGTTGTTAGAGTCCCCACTTAGTTTTATCTGTATTCTCACATCTACTGTAAACCCTATTCCATAACTTTCCTTCGAATTTCATAATTATGATTCCAGAAAAATGATTTGCTTAACCCAGTGAGTTTTATTTTCTCTAATTTAAAAGTAATAGAATTCTCAAAGAAATAAGTGAGATCAGAGTTTATTTCAAAGCTTGCTATAATCAAAGTGATAAATATAAATGTTGATTATCATTGGCTATTATTAATCCCTTATTGCATATCAACATTTTACTTTTACGTTATGTATTTTATTCTAATATTTAAAAAAAATCCTTTAAAGATGAAAAAATAAGAAGATGGGGTAATGCACATTGAGTCAGAAGATTTATACTTGTAGGTTCCCCCCTCACATATGCCTGTTTAAATGATAATTATCATAGTATCCTTGAAGGCATTGCTAATAGAGTAAGGTGTCAGTCAGAAATTCTTCTCTTGCCCTCTTTTATTTCTTCACAAGTTTTGATCATTAGGCAACCTTACTTTGCCTATGTAATTATTTTCCAAGTGTTGTTCATTCAATGAAATGGACCATGATCTTTGCTGCTCTGATGATTTTGTTTGTTATGGTGTCCCCTAGGCTCAGAGAGGTACATAGTGACCGGCCAATGCCAGTAGGTTTTTGTTGGATGAGTGAATGATAAGCATTATGTAATTATGGATCAGAGGTCCACATAAGCCAAATGGTAGACTTTCTCTGCTAAAGGCCATGGGCAATACAAAAATAAATGCTACAGAATTCCAGTTGGCATTGAACTCACAGCATCAGCTAACAGGGAAGGAAAGTTAATAAGACCCAAAAGAAAGGTCTGGTTCAGAATAGAGATTGATTCTAGATCCAGAACATGAAAAGAGAAGAAATGTACATCGTAAAGAAAAAAAAACATAAACAAATAAAGGATGGGAACAAATTCTGGTAAACTGGATACCAACAGGCAAGGGAAGAGAACCTAAGTCATGGGAAGCCACAGTTTGAGCACAAGGGTAATAGGCTTTGTTTATCAGCTATTCTTTTGTTTGCTTCACATGTACAAATGGAAGACCTATAATGATCTACATACTGTTAGCATATGATAAAGCTATCATAAAAAATGATAAGTAATTAAAAAATAGACAATAGTACAAAATGATGTGATGGATGAGAACACATATTCAAAGGCCAAAGGCAGAGGTGTCCATGAGGCAAACAAGAAAAAAAACTCCCTGAGGAGACACTAATACAGATATTTACATAAAGTAGAAGTGAAAAAATAAATCCTAAAAAGGCCCTGTGTTCCAGTATTGTAGCTATAAGCCACACAGAACTGTTAAACATGAACTGTGTGTGTAGGATAATTCAAAATGTGAGATAAACATAAAGTATTGCTGACTTTCTAATATTCTGTGCCAAAAATGAAACATAAACTATCCTCTTAGTAGTTGGACTGTATTTCATTATATAAAATATATCACTAAAACTAGCCTTGCCCATTTATTTTTCATTTTTCATTTTTACCACTAGGAAAATTTTAAACTATATAAGGGGATCCCAAAATTTTACGATGAGACAGCTCTTATCTAGGTGAGGGATGCTGTGGGTAGGCAAGCAGTTCAAAGACCCTGTAGGGCAAAACTGTCTTTGTGGCACCTAAAGAGTTACTAAAAGTTTATAAAGGAGCAGTTTAACAGATCCAAGCCTCTGGACCAAGGAAAAAAATAAAGATGGTAGTGTGGTTACAGAAAGAAGTGTAAATTAGGAAGCTAGTCATCACCTCTGGAGGCAAGGCCAAGGGAACTGAGACCCAGGCCTATGGAAGGGACAGGCTCACTTTTGAGGCTTGTCAGAATATAGTATACAACAAGGGTAAAGGGATTTTTGTCTCAGTGTGAAACTGGTTGGAAACTCTATCTCCATCAACTTAACCAAGGAATCAGAAGGCAAGATACCGAGAAAGCAAGGAGTTAGTCTTTGTTTTAAGTTATAATATTTTCTCCCATGTCGACATCATGACTCTCACTCATTATACCTATTTTGAGCTTCAGAGCCTGCCTCACCCTGAATTATTTCCTTGTTTGCTCAGTTCTATTGTGAGCTTCTGAGATAATTGTGTGGTCTGTGCAATGAGAAAGAAGAATTCGTCATGAATTAGATTACTCACTAGTCAGTGTTTCACCAAGAAGGGAGTCACTGCCTTAGTTCAGGTTTTACATTGCTCTATGTCTCTGTCTGTTGTCTCTGAGTGTCTCTGTCTCTGTGTGCCTCACTATCTTTCTGTGTATTTGTCTGTCTCTCCATATGTCTCTCTGTGTCTCTCTTTCTCTTTCTCTTCCTCTCCCCTTCCTTCCCTCCCAATTCACCATCTTCCAGTATTAGTGACATAATTCCAAACTCTCAGAAAATTCCTTCATTTTGAAAACCAGCTCTAGTTATTAATTTGTGTTGTGTGTGTGTGTGTGTGTATGTGTGTGTGTGTATTCATGCATGTACACACCTGCCAAGGCAGACACTTGGAACTCAGCAGATACCTTAAAGAAGTAGATTCTCTACTCCACTATGTGGGACTTGAGGATTGAACTCAGATCGTCAGGCTTGACAGCAATTGACCAACCAGCTGAGCTGCCACTCCATCATTCAAAGAAGTTTCTTAAGAGGCAGAAATGACAGCCACCTTCCCGTCAGTTGGAAAGGAAAGGAACAACTGCTGAAAGCTGAGTGTCCCCAGTGCCAAGAGAAGGTCCTGATATTAGTAACCTTCTTCAGTTCCCCTGTGAGCACTCTAATTCCTTTACAATGTGACAACGAGCCTCAGAAAGGTTCAGTAATTTCTTTGATGTCGCTCAGGCAGGTCACAGAACAATGTGTTTAAATTGTTCTACTAATTTCAAGTATCTAGTCATGGCTCAGATGTTGTAAATAGAACAAAACACCACACTGATTGCCTGTTCCTCCCCTGCTAACACTGAGTCTTTTTCTTCCCACAACTTCTCATGTTTTTGGTTCGTTTAACTCCTTTGTGCAAAGTAAACAAACCGGAATGTACAGCAGGAAGCTCTGAGCTGGGACAGTTTTGAGAGACAAGGGAGGCTAGCAGGAAAGGAACTGATCAAGACACATACCTCCACGCAGGGGTCCAAGCTTTCAGGTCTCAGGCAGGAAAGGAACAATGCCATCATCAATGTACCAACCAGGCAGAAGCGAGGTCTCATCCTGGCATTTTCTGCAACCAGCGGAGGCCATGAGAAAGCATGATGAGCTAACAGCAACGGTTGGCAGGGCAGAGTCCCTGGGGCACCGGCTTCGTCTCTCTCCGAAGGTGCCCCTCTGCAAGTACTATATTTAAAGGTGTTCTGGGCCAAAGAGTGTGAGGAAGTGAGAGTGGCAACTTTAGCGTTCTCTCTTTTTTTTATTCTAGAATTTATCTGCCGTAACGTGGGAGGCAGTTTAGAAGACTAAGGGGAGAACAGGAAGAAGAAGAAGGCGTTTGCTGACCAGCCAGCGGAGGAACAGCAAGAGGAAGCTGGCGTTCATCCCAGGAAGTCATCTGACCTCTGGGCTCGGTGAATGCAGGAAAGTAACCAGAGACTCGTACACTGGACGTGCCTGGAACGCCCACATTCTTGTTTGGATTTCAGTAGTGGAGACTTAGAGCTCCAGCTAAACTGCTAAGCCTCCGACGGCACAGTACCACAGACTGGATATTACAAAATGCAGGAATTTCTGTTCACACAATGCTGAAGGCTAGAACCCAGGATCAAATGTCATCAGGTGTATCTGTGTCCTGATCTTTTCTTGTACGTGTGTGTGTGTGTGTGTGTGTGTATGTGTGTGTGTGACCTGTTATGTGTATCTGCTTATTCATGAAGTAATTGATATTTCATGTGTGTGCTCTATGTGCATACACATGCAAGTGTGTGTGTGTGTGTGTGTGTGTGTGTGTGTGTGTGTGTGTGTGTCTGTGTGTGTGTGTGTGTATAAACCAGAGTTCATTATTGGATGCCTTCCTTGTTTGTTCTCAAACTCCTTCTGTTATTGTTCATTATTAATTACTAATTATTTTTCTTACTGTTAGAGACTGGAAGAGACACACTGTTCTACAAAGGGGAAGCACTCCCCAAAATAAGAGTGGCTTAGCGAACTGAGGGTAAAACTCAAAACTTTCCACCATAGTTCTGGAGCTAACGTCTCTCACTGAACCTGCTTCTTTGTTGACTAGACTGACTGGCTGGTGAGTCCTTGAGATCTACTAATCTCTACCCCCTCCCCAGTGCTGGGGTCGCAGGGACATGCAACAGCCTGCAGTTTTTATGTCAGTGCAGGGGATTTGTAGGTCTTCATGCATGTGAAGTACTTTACTAACTGAGCTCTCCAGTTTCTGAACTCTTTTAAAAGTAATACTGCCTATATTGTATTAAGGCACATCAACAAAACATTATTTTATTTTAATTTTCTCCCACTAAATTGCAGTCACGGGATGAAGCAATGGGAGATGAAGACTGCAACATATGAATTTCAGAGAACACTATGTAATGCTACCAGTGGCACTACTGGTGAAGAAATGCCCACATAGGAAGCTAGTTGAAAGAATCCAGTGAAATGCCTTGAAAAGAGCAGAAGGGGTTCCAAATGACGTACACTGAGGTCAAGTCTAGGGCTGATGACTTATGACAAGGACACATTACTAAAATGATTTCATTTCCCAAACCCTACACTCAGACCTGTAAATCTGAAACTTTTTTTTTTTACACTATTGAAGCTCATATTTAGAATACTTATTCTCGGAAAGCTATGTGATTTCTCTTGGATCATTTATGGTTCCAGAAACTTCAGATAAGATCAATATTGAAGGGGACTCCTGCAGAGCAAGGGCTTTCTCCTGGACATTAGATTAGGCACAAACCACACCCAATCATCTGTTATTGCAGAGAGTTCTGCTATCAAGTGGGAAAGATATGTTAATGTGTTTGCTTTCTGATTCATGCAGAAAACAGCAGCAAGAGATCTTGCAGGTGTAACTTTTAAGAGGAAGAAAAGGGGAGGTTTGTGTTAGAATGGGCTAGAATGAGGTGGTAAAAGGGATAGGGGATAAGGAGGGAGTGGAAAAGGACAAGGGAAAGGGGGAAGAGGTGCTTGTCCTGAAGGTACAAAAGACTGTCTCTGGACAGAAGCAAGACAGACAGACATGGTGAATAGGCAAATGACAGTTAATAAAGGTAAAGGGGGAAACCCCGAGTTAGGATGAGGTGTTTAATTTTAATTGTGCATGTTAATTATGTGAGCCAAAGGGAGCATTTGATTTCCAGATTTTGGTAGTCAGCCTTAGGAGGAGGAAGTGTCCAAATAATTTTATAGACCTTGGTTGCTTGCTTTAGGAATGTAATCTAACAGTTTTTAGCAAGGCAGAGGGAATGGGGGAGAAAGATAAGGCCTGCCCAAACCACATGCTCAAGTGAGTGCGCTAGTGTTCCTTCAAATATATCAAGCTCCATCGGTATTTGTCATTTTGAGTTTTGGGGGGAACTGACATGTAGAAGAGACCTTTCATCTTCCAAATTTCCTTTTCCACCCTGTAAAACCCAAGCACATTTCAAAATGTCGTATAGTCTCCACTCCCACGGAAAGACCACATTCCATCCTTGTTCTGTTTACAAGGTCAATCAGCAGCTTCTGAGGAAAATAAAAAGATACATGATACAGTCAGATTACACATACACAACTCTGAGTTTGCTACTATACAAAATGAAGATATAGGGCTGGAGAGATAGCCCATTAATTAACAGCAATCTCTGCTCTTCTGAAGGAGTGGGATTTTATTCCCAGCACCTATATCGTGACTCATAATCATCTGTGACTCCAGTTCTAGGAAACGTGCTGCTTCCTTCTGGCCATACATGAACATCATATATAATATGCACACAAATATGTAGGACAGCATTCATACTCACAGGAAAGCAAATAAATCTTTAAATGAATAGAAGATAATTACATTAACCTTACATGATTGAATTAAATTAACCACTGCATAGATGCTCATCATATCCCATAAAAGATAACCATGACAATTATCAAAAATGTATGTAAAATAAGGATAATCATACTTCCTCAAAGATTTATTGTAAACCTTCTAAAGCAATGTCTATGAAAAAACACTCTGAGCTTCTGATTAATAAAAGTATGTTAAATATCATTGGACTAGTGTCTTAATTGGCACACCCAAGATATTCTGTAAGTACCTAGAATCTAATTTGTCTATAACTAAGCTTCAAAACAACAGACCTCTGTGGACCCAAATTCATTCACATTCCCCTTTCCAGAGGCTCCCAGAACATCTTGGCACCACCATACCTACAGGTTCAGCAACAGACTCTACCCCAAGAGAATAAAGTAAAAAGTCATAGTAGGACACACAAGTCCTGTTTTTCCTCCACATACAGGCACAGCCATGTATACATGGGCATATGACACATTGCATCAATCAATTTAAAGAAAAAAAGTAAAGTCTATTCAAAGTTAATCATCTTCTGCTCTATTAATCTCATCACACATTTAGAAATTGTGCCAAACTCTAGAAACTGCAAATATAAAATAATGCTAAATTTAATTGCTCATTTTCATCCATCATCGACTATGTCCCATGGTCTAGGCTAGGGTAATGCACTGTAAATCAATCTTAAGGAAGCCAGAATCACATTTTCAGAAGTTTCAACTTTCCCACTATTTCTTATCCTACAATCCTAGTTTCTCTGTAAAAACAAAGTAGAAAATGTCTTAAATGTCTTAGCAATATTACTTGTACCTCAAGTCTTCTCTGACAATCCCTACACACCAACACTTCACTTAAGAAGGACAAACAAACATCTTTATTAATTAAGGATAGATATAACTAGACCTCCACTTACTAGGATACAAATGTCCCTCTTGCTACTATTGAAAAGGAAACCCCTGAGTGGTCAAAAAGAAGCTGAAAAGACTCTCAGCTTTCTAGACTCTCCTCATGAGGAATTGATTCATGTGTCTTATGTTCATCTTCATGAAAAGCTCTCCTAATTGTGTAGGGATATTCCTGAGACTACTGTGTATAGATATTTATTTATGAAAAACTAATAAGAATACACTAGCATGCATGACTGTATCCAAGGTATTTCAGTCATGTTGCCTCTTCTAGAAGACAGATCATGTACAATACACAAGAGAAAAAACTTAAGCAAATGCATTTTTTTGCTGAACCTCAATAAACATACCAATGTAGTTTTTTTAATGACTAATACAATCATGATGGTTAGTTAACATAATAAACTCAGTATTTATACCACAATGGCACAATGGAAGGTGGACTGACTAGGAAGCCACTTCATTTTCTACATCATTATTGTGTAGATGGTTCAAATGAAGATCCACAATCACTCAGCCAGTGGATGAATCCTATCTTTTCCAGAGAAAAGTGAGTTTTCGATCGAACGTGGCAGATGCTTACTATTTGGTAAAAAATAAAGTGGAATGCATATGACCAGTATTATATTAATATAATGTCTATGATGACATAGCACATATACATAGCATGATACATATTTCTTGCTTATGAAATGATCAGTGACAAAGAAAGGTGAGGAGTGATTCATGGTAGGAGGGTTCTTTCTGTTTCTGTGCTGCTACATTTGTAACTTCCTGTCCTACTTCAAGTATGTGTGCGCACACACACGAGAGAGAGGTGGGGAGAGAGAGGGATGAGGAGAGAGTCGTGGACTGCAAGATCCACTACACAATACCAATGCTTCACTATAAATGTGTAATGTAATTTTTTTCAACAAAATATATGTAATACAATCTCAAAGCCTGTAACTTCCTTTTTGTAATGATTAAAAGACTGTATGAGTGAATAATCACAACATAGTCTATTGGAGAAAAGAAAGTTTCCCTTTGATAATCATGTTTTAGAACTTTAGCTGATCCTTCCAATGAGCTACCATGTCTAAATTTCATACTTTTCACCCACCAGCATCACTCATCTCACAAAGGGCTTCCTGATTGATGACACTGTTTAGTTCTGATGAGCAGGCCCTTTAATTTTTTTTCTTAGGGGTAAGTAAAATTATGTTTTACAATTCATAATATGCTAAATTCAATGTGTTATTTACCTACAAAATAAAATAAGTTCCTTTTAAATTAATAACAAAAATGTTTAAACAGAAGGAAAAAAATTTTTTTCCAAGGGAGGACTGGAAGCATCTACTCACTGATGTCTATTTCAGGCTGTTAAAGTAATGAGAGGCCTCAGTATATCTTCTATTATTTTAAAACAGGGAATTCTTTTTATCCTGAGATATCTATTTCCAATCTACTATCAATTATTGTACTCTGTTCTATATTTCTGTGATATAGAACTCCATGAATTAGGAATGTGTATTTTATTAATATTATCCAGCCTCTCCATTTAGGCATTACCAACTTCCCCTTATGATTCACACAGCAAATATGTGTTATGTTCTCAGAAAACAATTTTCTTTGCTCACTAGACTTTCAGATCCTCCAAGACAA